TGACATTTGCATAGTGCTACGGTTCAGTAAGCACTAATTGGTCAGCGAGTCCGATGTTGACGCTATAAAAAGGCGACAGTTCGACACACCGGATATACGTCACTCTCATCTAAGTTCGACTTGGGAATTTTTTTGTTCAATAATAAATGTGAATTCTTCTTCCTGGAAAAATAAGACATTCCCTGAAAATAAGACAGCGCATTTTTCAGAGCAAAAATTAATATAAGATACTGTCTTATTTTTGGGGAAACACGGTAGTAAAATAATTTTAATATTAATAATAATAATTTAGTAACATAAATTTATTCATAGTAAAATGTACTTGCAGACCGTATACGGCCCGCGGGCTGCCAGTTGGACAGCGCTGATTTATAGGATCCAAGTTTATTTTTGCATGTATGTTAAATGTGTATATAGTCTCGAAATATGTAAGAGTTTTCAAATTTATTGTGTGTATATTTCAAATATACAAGATATTGACCTAATATAAAATACAGCAAAACTTGGTTAACTTGAAGTTCAAGAGGAATGCAAAATAATGAAATTGATTAATTCAAATTTTATGAGTATACTTTGATAGTCACATTTTTTTGTTAAGCTTAACACCGATTGCTCAAAATTTGAAAATCTCTTTTCAATCAGTCATTTACAAGCAATAAAAAGCATTGTCAGTAAAAACACAACACTTCCAACATTCTGTTTTTAACCACTGTTGCGTATTTGTTACAAAAATTAAAGATATGTTAAAAAGAAAATGATGCGGATGAGAAAAATGTTTAAAAGGTGCAAATTGCAAGAATATCATGCTAATTTTGAAGTATATTTGATGATTTTGTAACCATCATAAAAAACCACTAAAAACACCTGACAACAAATGGCACTGAAGTTTTTATGCTAGCTGAAAAATTTGATACTTCTAAACTTCTGAGTGATTCACAAAATAAAATTTGCCAGAAATGTCACATGATACCGTTTTTCACTTTCACCAGCAATTTGCTCTCAGTATGAATTATTATTGTTGATGTTTAATCATTCTACAATTGCAAAAAAAACAAACAATAACAAAAAACACAGTATTGTAATTGTTTTCTTATTTGAAAAATCTAACATTTGTTTCTTTTTGCCTGTTTCTACATGATATACAAAATCTTCAGGTTCATCCACAGAATGGAAGATAATTAATTAATGTTAATTTGAGCTTCTATGAACCATTTTATTTTTTTTCTAATATGTCCACAGCTTCTGCAGTTGTTGGTATAGGGAAGTGTTTTGCATAAATGGTTCATTTTTATCATCTTCATCAGAAGATTCTGTAACTTTATTCCTCACCTCTTCAACAATTTCTGTATTCATAAGTTGACCACAAATTGCAACTTCAACATTTATGTAAGAGTCATAAGTGATATCAGTTGCTACATTAACCAACTGTTCTGGAACTGGCATCACTACAGGTTCTTCTTGAATGATTTAAGAGTCACTTTCTTGATTATGGCTATCATTTGAACTGCATCAAAATGATCAATTTTTTTTTGTGTATTGGAATTATGTTTTCTGAGATTTTCCAAAACACTTGTTGACAATACAAATGTTTGCAATTCTAAATGACACAACACATTGATCTATTGGTTGCACAGTGGAAGTCATATTAGGTGGAAAATATGCAATTTTAATGCACTTCAACTGAAGAATGTTATGAAACTTTCCCTTTAGCACTGTAAAATATTTTATCCAGTGCTACAAGTCATTTTTAAAACAGTTCACTCACTTGTCATCCAAGTCTTTTTGTTGGGGCTCACCAGTGGCCTAGCAGTTCCGTCCCTGAACACTAGGAGTTCAGTTGTGGGTTTGTGCCTCAAAAAGATGGGCTGGCCACATGGAGTTTTCCAAGTTTTCTCCATGTCTATAATGCCTAAATAAGGGCCAGTTACCCTTAGAAAGACCTCCCGGAAGGCATCCCCCTAGGCAGATCACCCAAGTGTTGCATTGCCATAACCTAACAAAAACTTTTTGTTGGATTCGTACTGTACAAGTAAACTTTTCACTGATTTAAAACATCTTGGTTTTATAGATTTTCCAATCATTAACATTAGTAGTTTTTCAGAGCCATCCCCATGTTTGTTCCTACTAAAATCATTATTCTTTCTTTGCTCTTTTCACCATCACTGCATTATTTACCTTTATAAAGGAATGTTCTGTCTGGCATGCACTTGAAAAAAGACCTGTTTCATTCACATCAAAACATATTTTTTGGTTCTTAATCAGTAAGATGTTTAGGCAATCCACTAAACCATTCATCAGCATTTTCTTTATCTACTGATGTACTGTACTTTCACCACAAATTTTTCTAAATGTTATTTCTAGCTTTATAACTATAAACCTGAACTTGCTTTAAAATTAGTAATTCCTATTTTCTTGGCAAACTTTTCCAATTTGGTATCACTGGGCCACTTAAAGGTATATTATATTCTCATGATTGTTGAAACCACTTTAAAACACATTCATCAACTTTGGGATACTCATACATTTTATGCTTGCACCATCTTGTTTATTCCAACAGTCTATATTTTAGTTTTATTCTTTAAGAAAGTCAATAAAGTGCTAGGGAGTATGCCATATTCTTTGATGATATACTTCCTTTTTAGTCCTTTTTCTACTTTGGAGAGAAAAGTCAAGATAATTTACAAAGTCAAAGAATTATTGTATAATCCAAACTTGGACATGATATATATTTTTTTTTACTGTACTGTAACTTAACTACAATACACTGCTATTCTAAAATACTGTACAGTAAATAGAACACTAGGCCTACAGTATGTATTGTACTGCACTAAGCAATTATTGATGAATCACTAGCATCTGAAGTGACTGGTAATTTTGACTTTCTAGATATTTCAAACACAGTAAATGTTTAACAACTGTGGATCACCTACTGCTTTCTATCTCCCTCTCACCCTGCTTCCATTGTATTTTATATAGCTTACCAGTAAACCACAAATTAGGACACAAAAGGAGAAAGGATGGCTGCAGGGAAGGCACAAGAAAACAGATATTCTGCAATGAGAAAACTCTAATTATCCAAAAATTAGAAAAAAAATTTGAATTAAACAGATAGTTTTAACATTACATGTAATAGGAAACTCTAAGGGAATTTGTAAAATTCCAATTATCCAAAAATTGAATTAACCAAGTTTGAATTTATTCTGCTTAATTCACAGGCTTATTTTTACTTATCTTATATGCCAAATTTTAAGAGATTGTGCATTCTCATTTTTAAAATATGCAGCTTCCAGTACATTTTTAATGTGGTCTGACACAATTTCTGTAAATTTATTATTCTACAATAAAATTGCTGAGACAGTGAAATTTTTTTTTAATTACCATAGTTTTGTGCACATAAAGAGCACCTCTAAATACTTCTGGCGGTTTAGAAGTTATCTTAAACAAAATAATAACTCAGAAAGTTAACTGCAGTATATCAATAACATCTATAGTTGAGATTAAGACAAATTAGAGGGCAACACTTAATAGGAATGGTTGCTCTGCCAGATGCAAATAAGCTACAAAATGAAGTTGTTACTAATTTTACTAAGAAAGTTGTATATAGATGCTATAATTTCAAATACCTAAGTTCAAGAATTGATGGCTTAGATCTTATTTCTGTAGTAAACCAGCATCTGATAAAATTGGCAATTGTTTCTAAACAGGATCTGTTTTGTTTCTAAACTGAGAGACAGGAAAATTTACCTAGTCTATTGTTTTCAAAACTCAGTTTCTTTGAGCTATTATATAGAGGACAGGCTTTATCAATTTTTGAGATACAGATTCAAGTAGGAATTTGTAACAATAGAGATGTTGCGGCTGTCATATTCAGCCAAAAATGTGAATGGTGGACCATCAAGAGCCATCATCTGGCAATTCTGGACGGTCAATAATGGCGGTC